GTGTGTGTGTGTGTGTGTGTGTGTGTGTGTGTGTGTCGCAATGCAGTTGGAGTGCCAGGCTGCTTTGCTCTCTGCTCCATGAAAAGCTCCTTTTCTCTTTCAGTGGACACACAGAGCTGACAGTTGAACGAGATGAATATGTACACCTTGTCACAGACAGACTTCAAACATTCCACACACACACACACACACACACACACAGGGACACGCACACAAAGCCAGGAAGTGAAAGGGACGTCCGGCCCGAGCAGCTGATGTTGTGCGAGCTGCGCTGGCCGTTATGTAATTTCAGGAGTTTAAAGAGATCCTGAGCTGGAGAGTTTCCCAGCATGCATCCTGAGAGGGTCCATCTTTAACAATTCCTGTCCATCAGAGGGGCAAACATGTGATTATTGGATGCTTGGAAACTAAAAATGAATTCGTCAGCAGCGGCGGTTGGTCAGTACTCGTTAAATCTGTTCTCAAACCCACAAATGAAGGAAACTCATCAAATACAATAAACCCACTTTCAGTTTCAACACTTGATGAGAAGTTGTCATCAACCTAACCGGATGAAGTCGCTTAAGCTTTGGCTGGCGTCCTACAAAATTTGAATATATTTGCTTGTAAAATGAAGTAGCTGCAGATTTGACGAGATAAGTTGAGCCTTTTGGTTATCCTTCATGCAGTATGTATCCGATGTGAAAGGTACATTATTTAGGGGGGTTGAAATGATTGACGCATGGACGCCAAGGCCGCCTGCTTCCCAACTTCTAATCCCTTGTTCCTTCACTAATGCTGCCGTGTCATCACATTAGTAATTAGCATCTTACTTTCAAGGCTTTCTCATGCGTGCGAGTGACGGACTGAAGCTCTGAGCCGCTGATTTGTGTTTTGGCAAAGAAGGAGCTTCGTTAAAATGGTAAAAAGACAGCATCCGATCTGGTGTTGCACGTGAACCAGATGCAGCTCGGCTGTGTTGGGACTCGTTCCACCAACAGTGCTTTCAATGCTATAATTCATGCAACATAAATGCGTGACAAGCCGCTACAGCTGTGGGCAAAAGGGCTTATTCAACAAGTGGCTATAAAACCTGATAACGTAACGAACTGATGTAAATGGTCTGATTGTAAAATACCCTGAGAGATCCATACAAGACGTCAGTCTACAGCTTAACATCCTGGAACCACAATCCACTACTTGTGAAATTTACATCAAGCCCAATAATGACCCATTTTGCCCAAATTGCTCAAACATGACCACGAACACACAAGAAACTAAATACAGAGTTGGTCTCCTACAGTCGTGTCTAAACTTGATTCTCATCCTGTAATAATACACCCGATTGTGTTCTCTTCATTTATCATTCAGGATCCACAGGGATGAGAAGAGGGTGTGCTAGACCGTGAATATCCATCCGTGATCGCGTTCGAGCCTAAACCCCCTCACTGACAGACGTTCGCCCCTAAAGCAACACTCCTTCTTGGCTTGTGGTCACAGCGCTGCACGCCGTACACTTTGACAATAACGGGCGAGACCTTCCGGCACTCCACACATCCGTCGACTCCGTAGGAAAGAATGGCAAAGCTCCCAAACTGGGAATGACATCACGGATGAATTAAGAGGAGACTACAGGTCTTTCTATAGACGTGGGCGCCAGATTTCCAAAACAGCCCCGGGGCCAAAAACAGAGAGGTGTGCTGCGTCGCATTTCTCAACTTCTCTTGCTGTAATGGGACACGAGGAAGAAAAGAGCCTTTGATCGGGCTGATTCGGAACCACAACGTCGTATAGCGCTGGTGTAAATTATTCAGGAGGGACGCTGAAGGACATCTCGAAAGACAAACAGCTGTGAGATTGACCGTTTGATCCCATCTGGGGTTGGTTTTTCCGCTGAACAGGATGTTGTGGCGCTCTCTTTTAAAAATCAGACAGGAGACAAAGATTTCCTCGGGAGGATCCATCGAAAAACCGAACGTACTTCAGAGAGCTGAAGGCCGGATGGGAGCGTGACCTCTGGTCAACGCGGGACGATGATCATCGGTGAAACGCTTGCACCTCTTCTGCCCATTTGCTCGCTTTGCTTCATTGTTTCCCGGCACCTTAAACTCAACGTTTCCCGTAGATAACAGCAGCTGTCATCAAGTCTCAGCCCCTTTGGCACTTTAACCTCATGAACTGTATCTCGCTCCAGTCTGATTCGCTGGCTGCCAAATGTGGTTATTGCACTTATACACGTTGATTGATTGAAAGCCGTTTAATCTCCTGTCTATTGGACGTCTTCCATTGCCCCTTTTCACGGGACTCTCGGGTGATTTATGCCACTGCGGAATCGGTTCTTTCTGATGGAGTTGGGATGCAAAGGATAAACAGTTTGTGTGTTGACACAACACAGCGCACATACCACAAACACTCCGGATGAAATGCTTTGTGTATACTGTGAAGGGGTACGGAGAAGGAGAGATACTCGGACAAAGAAGAGACACTGAACAAGCTGGCAAGCTTTGGACAAAAAAAATGACAACTTGCCAAGAACAATTAATTACACATTTTTGGACACATGATTAAAAATCACGCAATAACAAGATCATCGTAGAATAGAAAATCAGTCTGATGTCCATGGAGATATCGACTGAGCACTTTGATTCTCGTAGTGATCAAAACGCATCCATTTCCCGCTTGCACCACAGCTGAGACCTTTAAAAGGAATTTAAAAAGAGGAAAATCCCACGTTTGAAGCGTGTCTCAAGCTGAACAAAACAAGCGTCTCTGGCAACACAGTTTAACTTAGAATTCATTCATTTGAGTAGAACAAAACCAGAGCGTCAACCTCTCATACGAGACTTCTCTCCACTCGACATGCATTTCCTTCTCGTTGCATGTTTTTGATTCGATGATTTCTGTGTTCTAAATCAAAGTGTTTTTTTCCCCCGATACCTTTTGTCATTACGAGGCGAGGGTAACTCTCACAGGTGCCTTTGACTTTGCCGACAGCAAAAAAGTGCTGAACTACCGTTCAGAAGTACGACAGTAGATCAAACCACCAATGAGAGGTGAGGAGGGGGAGGAGGACCTCGCTCACGCAAACACCCGCCGGCTATGTGACACAAATCAGTCGTCCTCATCAAAGGGCCAGTCGGGCTCTACTGAAGTTCCCAGCAACCTAATCGCTGTCATTAGCAACGGCGTTAATGACGAGCTGGTGAGAGGAAGCCGAGGAAGTAACGAGTCAACGCGCTGGACGCCATTTGCCCATGGGGGACGCATTTGAGAGGACGCTTCGGCAAATAAAGCCTCCCTCCTCGTCAAAGGTTACCTTTTGGTAAGTTCGGTGGACAAATTGTTCTCTCTCAAACGAAACCGCTGTGTGTGTTGCGATCATGAGGACTGTGAGGAACTGCGATTGGTCGGCCGTGGCGGCTCCTCTCCTCCCAATGCACAGGCCGTGAAAAGCAAAGGAAACATGAAGCCAGTGGAAGGTTTCAGGAACACCACTTTCATATCCATTGTCTCATTTAGAGAGGTATTTCTGAGCTAATCATCCCTGACCCTTTGTGAATGACCATCATTACTTCTTTGGAATCGCATTGGAAATAGATTCCAGAGAGACATTTGGTGATCGACGTATCAAAGCGATTTCACGTGGAAACATTGCAGCGGTATTTCGGAGAAGTCTATTTAGTTCGACGGTGGTGCTGGGCTGCCCTGCAGGGAGAAATCCTACGCTCAACTGCGTTTCTACTCTGGTGACCCCCAGAACACGCTCACAAAGAGGCATAAATCTGGTATGTGTGGTCAGCAAATCCACGGCAGGGGTCAAATTATCCTCTGCTGCCAAAACAAACCAAAATGTAAAAGTCTGCTCTGGGTTTAAAATAAAGAAAGTCAAATTGTGATGGTTATACGTAGCTTATTTGTGTTATATGGTTGTTTTTTGTATGAGGATTTTGACGCCACAAGAGTTAAGATGACAAACTTCAATTGGAACAAACAAGAGGACAAATGAAAGCAGCGACACTTTCGCTTAAAACCCAGGACGCGTTGGCGGTCGAAGGTGAGGACGCGCAACAGATGGCAAACACTTGGCTCGCCGTATGACATCACACGCGAATGAAGTCAAGTTTAACCGCCGCCATGCAGACGGAGGCTCTGTGTTGGAGTGGTGTCAGATCACTCCCGCCTTTTTGAGCGTTTGGTCCCGATCTGCCTCAGAGATTCTAGGTCAGTAGTGGCTTTTTAAAGATTTAATAGGAGCCTCCAAGGAGTTTGGTGCTGCTAAATGGGTCCATAACGGTTCCGGACACCCTTAAAGGGGAACCGCCGCTTTCAATACTCATTTTCAGATGGAATACAATTAGTCTAAACACGGCATGAAATGGATTAGAACTAACCAGTTTCATTTCTGATTCTAGCTTTTAAGTTCATCATTTGGCCAATAAAACATCCAAATATTTGGGAAATTGACCACTTGGCCCACACCGGTCTTGAAAGGCTAAATAAACCTGCCAACGGAGACTTTAACCGTTTAAAATGATACGTGTCAGTTTAAAAACAGACCACATCACCTCAACTCTATAGTTTGTCACAGTTCATCCAGGTGTGGCCCCTGTTGCTCTGAACCGTCACTTGCTTGCAGCCAGATGTTTGAGCCCCTCTGTAAACCTGTCCAGCTCACTGCAGGATGACAAAGCCAAATGAGTGTGTTGGGATTAAATTCATCCGGAACAAAACCCTCGTTTGCGTGACTGCTGTTCCCCATGCGGGCTCCCGATGGGGCAGAAATCCACTCCTCATGATGCGGTCTTTGTTTTTAATGAATTTTTGAATTCCAGAAGAAAAAAAAAACCCCTCCAGTTTGAGTCACCTTTCAACAGGTGACGAAGCAAAACGTTCAAACTGCGGGTTGGAGAAAAAGGCGCTGCGGACACCTGCAAACAGGGCAACCGGGACCCCCGCAGAGTAAAAGAACACGCCTGCACGAGAAGCTACTCAAAGTCCCGCCGGAGCCGCGCGTCACTCACCTCGATCCACTCCCGCGCCTCCCGGAACGCGCAGGCAGCGGCCGCCGCTGCGCCCGCGGGATGCTGATGCGAGTCCCCGCCGTCTGCGACCGGACTGGCCATCGGCGAAGAGGCTCCGCTCTCCAAGTGCTGAAGCTTCGGTTGGTCGACGGCGGTGGGAAGCAGCTCGGTGCCGCCGTATTCCTCCCGGAATCAGACGCGCAACGTGTCGGTCAGCCGGTTCCCCTCCGCCGGGTTGTGGGTGGTGGTGGTGGTGGTGTTGGTGGTGGTGGTGGTGCAGCAGCAGCAGCACCGGCGGACCAGTTGCTGCCTTCCGGTGTCGCTCCTGTTGGAGTCTGTGGGCAGACAGCCGGCGTCAAGTCACCCAGAGTCAAGCGTGTGGCTTCCGGTGAGGTCTTTCACAAATAAAAGCCTCAGAACGTAGTAAATGTGCACAAGTCGCATTTAAGTAATTAATGCGGCAATAAGAAACACGTTTTTAGAACTAAATTACGAACTCGTTGTTGAATAGGAAATAATAAACACTGGAAAATACCATGACCATTGATTGTTATGTCTTTATTTAGCTGGATTGATTTAGGTAAAATGCATCTGTTTTCCTAACCACTGGACAATGATGTTTCTGCCCCCCCCCCCTTTCTTTTAACCAATGAAACCTAACTTAGAAATTTACAACGTGTTGTCAGAGTCCTACCTCCCATTTGCCCTCCGTTTCACTGGCCGTTTGTTCGCTTCTTATTTTGGTTGCGACGCTTTGCTTCCGGTAGTGATCGAGCAGTTTCTGGCTAACTTGACGCAGATGAACTGACGGGACTTGCGCACCGCAGCGTGATCCGCTCCATTGGCCCAAAATACTCCATCGACCAATGAGGGCAGCAACACACTGGGGACCTCACACTCTCCTCAACTCCGTGGGGCCACTTGGGAGCACCGAGTTCACTGATTTGGAGATAATGCACCAGAAAACAAAGGAGCCAGCTCACAGTGCGCTGTGCACCTTCCTGCTTTTTACGCAGATGTGTCTGGAAATGGAGTTCAAGACAATGTCTCCAGTCATTCATCATTATGAGGAAATACACAATAGTGCAGCATTTAGAAAATGAAATGTGTTTATTTTTGTTCATCGACACATTCTTGTCTGTTTTTCTATGATTTGTATTGTTCAAAACAGATTTAACTGCATTGTGCGAGTAGAAACTTTGGGTAAACTACGTTAACAGGATTCCCTTTTCGGACAAATATTAGTTCCCGTTGCCATGGTTTCGCTGGTTAGGCTGTTTTGAGGGACAGAAGGGATCCTTGCAGGTAACATCTTTGAAATCTCCAATTTAAGTTTGAAATCTCTGAAAACATGGTGTCAATGGTGTCAAAGTGCAACACCAAGCCAGATGAAATGTCGATGCAAACAGTTTTGGCCACACAAACCGTTTCAACACATTAAGCACAAATCAAAACACTATTAAAAGCCATTCGTTTGTACCCAATGTTCGCTGACCTTCAGGCAATACTTTCCCAGTTCCTATACAGACAGTTTGTTCACAGGCTTGATGTATTTTCACATTCTCACATATTTGCTGACCTCCTGTGGAATGAAGCAGCACTGAAAGGTGGGAGGAGCTCGAAGCGGTTCATCTGTAATGATTCACCTGGCCCTCCTCTCTTCGGCTCCTCAGGCCTCGATTTCCTGGATCAGAAAAAACGCTCTGTGGATTTCCTCCATTGTATTCGGATCTCTTTCCCACAAGGCTTCTGATTAGGAGACAGTCACGGTCGGTTTATCTGTTTCTGCTGCTCGCATTGTTGACAGTCCCATCTGGGTTTGACAGGTCACTCTGGTAAGTATTACACCGTTGCTGCAAACGTGTCACCTCTTCTGTCTCAGGAAATCCCAAAGGAAGAATTTTCTTTTCTTAGAACTATTTCAGAATTCACGAAAAGCACCACGTTCATATTTTTTACTTCAACACCACTGACTTCATGGTAACCCTACATTTGTATATTCAGTATTTTTTGTGTTTGTTCCAAGATGTAGCTCATATGGACTTTGCCTTTATTAAAGATTAATATAAAAAAACGTACTAATTTATCAATTGATTTATTAATTTAACAGTATATAGTACTTCCGTTCTTTATTCATCAGAATCCTAGTGTGGTGTATTTACTGCATTGTACGTTGGTTGACTTTCTTTTGATCCAGAAACAGATTTATTCACGGTAAGCACTTCTTCTGAAATATAACTGTAAAAGACATGCAGTGACTTTTATTTACCTGCATTTCCAAGTATGGTATGAGCAAGTAGTGCCTGCAGAGGGAGCCAGAGCTCAGGTGATTGTTAGTGGTTGCCTTAGAAACGCACATAATTCAGTGCATATATTGCTTCGGGCTTTTAATTATTCCTGCGTAAGGTTGAGTATAAAACCGTCATTATGACCCTTTGAGCTCCTATTTCAGAATGATGGAGAATCGAGTGTGAACGTTAGAACATCTGCACGCCAACAAAGAGCAAGTCCGAGTTGTGATTTATTCAAAACCGGGACGGAGAAATACCTCAAATCTGTGCTGTGGAACGGGACCCTCGTCGTTAATCTCGCGTGTTCTCGCTCTCCTCTTTTCACCCCCAGCTTCTCCCGGGCCTTCCCGCCCGCGCCACAACTCCTGAAATGTGGCTGGTGGTCGCCTGCGTCCCGCTGCTTCCCGCCGTCTTCATGGTGAGCGCTCGCTGCCGCGTCAAAGTGGCCTCCCTGTGCCACGGGGCTCTGGCCTGGGCGCTGAGGCTGCTGCGAGGGAGAGCGTGTGCAAAGAGCACCCACGCCTTCGTGTTCTCCCAATGCACCCACGGCCAGGCCGACAGCGTCCTGCAGACCTTTGAGCTGTACGCCGACACACACCCGTCTCCCTGCATCGGCCCACTGACCGGTCGGTATGCGGGGTCCCTTCAGTGCATTAAGTCACAAGTCATGAAAATCTTGCAGATCATTCATTTAAAGCTGTTAAAAAGTCTTCAAATGAACACTGACTTTTCCATTTCACTCACAACAGCTAAAAGTAAGACACTTAACTTTTTAATATAACTGAATTTGGGCTTTTGATCATTTGCTTTCTGTTTGGAATTCCGCGACACTCGACCCTTGACATCAGAGTAGCGGTGCCGGGTCAACGATTAGTCTCAGATGTGGCGAAGGGGGCCGATAAAAGGAATCACCATCAGCTGTCATCCCTCCCAGGTGAGGCGCTGGACGAAGCGGTGAGGCGGCTCGGCCCGTCCCGGGTGTTGGAGCTCGGGATGCACTGTGGCTACACTTCAGTCCGCGTGCTGCGTCTGCTTCGCCCAGCTGGCCGGCTGATCGCGGTGGAGCTGGACCCACTGGCCGCGGAGCTCGGGGAGGAGGTCATACTCGTGGCTGGCTTCAAACACTCGCAGGTCCGCCCAGGGAAGGACGAGGGTTTGGGCTCTACTGCACCGAAATAAGATGTAACCGTGCTCATTGAAAGGGTTCTACCCGTTCAGTTCCAGGTGCTGACATCCAGCTCGGCGGAGGCCATCCCAACTTTGCGTTCGTTTCTCGAGATCAATCAAAGGGTCAGCGATGGGCTGGATCTGGTTCTGATGGACCACGACCCCGCGCAGTACCTCCCAGACCTGCTGGCTCTTGAGAGGGAGGAACTGCTCTGCCCGTCCGGCTGCTCCGTCCTTCTGATCTACGGCAACCGAAGAGCCAGAAATCGAGGAGATGTCCTGGATTGGATCAGAGCGAGGCCCGACCGCTACAGCGTCAAGTCAGAACTTCAGTTCATGACGGAGATCTTCTACCAAAATAAAAGCACGAGGGTTGATGAGTGAGAAGAAAATCTAAAGACGTGGTTGTGTGCTTCCAGTTTTTTTTCTCCACTTTATCAACCAATGGTGTAAAATACAAAGTGCGAAATACTATTTTTCCTATTACGTTCCTTAAGAAACTAAAGGAAATCGTTAAGCGATTCATTATCAAGTATGTAAACAGTTTTTATGCTATGAATTAAATAAAAGCAGATAAGGAAAGAGTCATATTACTATACTTTTTCTCTTTGGTTGCTACACCGTACATGGCCCCTGAGAGACAAACAATAACACGTATACAGAAGGAACTGCTGAATTCACATTATTGCATATAAAGTATTAATATTCCAGATTTTACCATGTGTTGAAAAATGCACATGAGTGAATTGTCGGATTTACTATTCCAATAACTCACACAGGTAGGGGGGGATACAAAATACTACTTCTTTTTGTTTGTAATATCCCCAAAATCCCAAAGCTGCGTACACGATCGGCCCTGCTCGCAACAAAGGAAACAAAGAAAACGTCCTGCATGCAGAGCCCTGAGCAACCACTTGAGGGCGTCACGTCTCTTTGAAAGAACAAACTGATGCACCGGTCTGGTTTTCACAAACAAGCCTTTAAAGGGAGATTCCACCCACTTTAAAAACATGCACGTTCTCCCCCCGTGACACATGGGGAATACCTGTGAACCTCAGGAAACAACCTTTGACTTTGAGACCTTGACCTTTGACTTTGAGACGTGTTCTGATTCCCCCGTAAAGATCGTTATGATCCACACTCCCTCTTGTGCATCTTGTTTACAATTCAAAGTAGAGCGCTATTCAAGAAACTGC